ACATAGGGCCTTTCTAAATTACTGAGGATGGCCTTGAATTTGCAATCTTCCTTCCTTAGCCTCCTGAGCTGCTGGGATTACATGTGTGTGACACCATGTCCTAAAAGAATAACTATATTTAATAGAATTAGAATTGGATGAGATGATACTCTCATAGTTTGATTTCCAGTTATGTAAACGAATTTTTCCTCTTCTCTGGGTAGAAAGGAAAGTACGACTTATACATTATTGATTATTATGATATTTATAATATAGCTGATCACCATAATTATACCAGAAGACGTTTATCTAGAATTAGTTTCTGAAAACTTATTCTGGTGATGACAACCATGATTAATTTTAGTGCACAAAGGAGAATATTTGGAAGAAATCCTAAGACAGTTGCATAACTTAATTTTATTTTTATACAAATAATCTTCTGTTATTCTTACCAAGAAAAGTGTGTTTAATTTTAATTTTTGTTTCTTTAAAAGGAATTAAAGATCTCTTCATGCTGTGTGGCCGAGTTTTCTTGCTGCTTGCTCTCCTTACTTTAATTATTTCCATGGCTAACTCATTGATTAACTCATTTAAATCTTCCCAACCTTATCTGAAAGGTAAGTTTATTTATGCTACCCTTTAAACTTTTCTATTCAGCTTTCTTTACTTATTCTACAATATTACACAATAATAGCCAGTTTGCCATTAATTTGAATAATGTATAACTATATTGACGATTATTTTGTTTTGTTATTATTTTTTTGTTTTTTATTTATTTGAGAGAGCATCTCACTAAGTTGCTGAGGACTTTGCTGAGTTACTGAAGCTTGGCCTCCTGAGTTGGTGAGATTACAGATGTATGCCATGGCATATGACCTTGATGATTATTTTGAATGGATTATAAATTCCAACATTTTAATGAGAAACTACATTTTCCTTATATATATTTTTGAAGCTCTGTCATTTTTAAGTTTGTTACATTCTAAATTCTCTAATTTTAAATTGTACATTTGTGTTACTTAATTATTTGATACATACAATTTGTAAAACATTATACAATGAGTAGGTATATCTGCCATTAATCTCTAACACCCTTTCATCCTAATTTTTTATTGCAATTACAGCAGTTTTTCTTCAGGCACCTAGGTCCTGTATATAGTTGGGTGCCTAGGAAATCATGTTCATTCTATTTTTGTTTCTGTTTGGGCAAGTGAGAGTTATGATTCTTTAAAAAATATTTATTTATTTATTTATTTTAGTTGTAGTTGGATACAACACCTTTATTTCACTTATTTATTTTTGTATGTGGTGCTGAGGATTGAACCTAGGGTCTCGCATGTGTGAGGTGAGTGCTCTACCACTGAGCCACAACCCCAGCCCGAGAGTTTATGATTTTTTAAAAAAAATTGTTCTAATTAGTTAAAAATACATGACAGCAGAACACATTTCAACTCATCGTACACAAATGGAGCACAACTTCTCATTTCGCTGTTAGGAGTCACACTGTTTGTACAATCATACATGTACATAGGGTAATAATGTCCCTCTCATTCCACCATGCTTCCCACCCCCACACCTCCTTCCCTCCCCTCATTCCCCTCTGCCCAATCCAAAGTTCCTCCATTCTTCCTTAGCCACTCCTACCCCACCCCCTCCTCCTCTATGGATCAGAATCTGCATGTCAGAGAAAACATTTGGCCTTTGGTGTTTTGAGATTGGCTTATTTCGTTTAACACGGGTAGTCTTCAGCTCTATCCATTTACCTGCAAATGCCATAATTTCATTCTTCTTTAAGGCTCAGTATTCCCTTGTGTATATTTACCACATTTTAAGAATTAATGATTTTCTATAGAAGCCTTTTAAAATCATATTGTGCCTGGCGTGGTGGTGCATGCCCATAATCTCAGCGGCTCAGGAGGCTGAGGCAGAAGGATCTAGAGTTCAAAGCCAGCCTCAGCAACAGGCACTAAGCAACTCAATGAGACCTTGTCTCTAAATAAAATACAAAAAATGGCTGGGGATGTGGCTCAGTGGTTGAGTGCCCCTGAGTTCAATCCCCCGTACCCCGCTGTCTCGAGGAGGCAAAATTGCGATGTATGTAGTCGAGGGGAGAAATAAAGAATGTCCATATGCTTCTGCTCCTTTCAATGCTTTATTCACTCAAATTCCTCAATACAATTTCACTCTATAGGTTCTTAATCAAGAAAACGACAATCCTTAATGCTAGGCACTGTTATCAATTGACAATTCACAGCAAACAATTCTAGATTAATTCTAAGCACTGCAAAACACACTTAATCATTACAGGCTAATGACAGACATTCCCTTTGCAGGCTAAGTTCAAATGTCAGATCAGAAGTCTTAAGCCTTAAGCTTTATGTCCAATAGATGCACACTCACTCAGACCGCAGTGATCAGGTCCAGAACCAAGGCCAGCTTTTTGTGGCGTGGAGTGGACCACTGGTTGAGGAGAGGGTCTGGGGAGAAATTGCGGCTCTCACCAAGTCCAGACAGGTGGTAGAATTTGAGAGCAGTGAGGATCATGCACGCAGAGGATCAGGATCGATGACAAGTGATGGGAATGTCAGGTCCTCATCAGGCTCTCCAGCTCGAGTATGTCCTTGTTTGGGCTGGCTGAATCCCTGTTCATTTGCTTTGTTTTTGACCCCCTTTTAAATCCTTATTAGCTACCACCSGATTTCTCAGTGACATCATTTACCCTGGGGTCAGAAACATCTGGTCTAGTGGTCTCCACCCTGATCTTCTTGCCTTTCCCTCTTATCAGGCAAGGACAGCCTTCCTGGGGCTTCACTCTATTTATCAGGGTGAGGGGAAGTAACTTGTTTGAGGCCTTACTGGAGGGCTCTGTAGGTGAGCCTGGTGAGACTGCAGGTTTCAAACCACAGTTTTTAAAATGGAGTTGCTTAGACTCAGGCCGAAGGCCATCCTCACACCTCCTCCCCCCAAAAAACACTCCAATATTGTACTTGGCCTTAGAACAGATGAATCTTAAATTTTTTAAAATATTTTATCTTTTGGGGGGTGGTACTGGGGATTGAACCCAGGGCCTTGCACATGCTAGGTAAGTGCTCTACTACTGAGCTACATTTTATATGCAATTAGGAAAAAGGTCACCAGTAATGAATTTGGTACATTATTAAAAGTTGTTTATTTAAATGTAAATAAATAAGAAAATGAGCAGTGCTTAATTCAAAGCCTTTTGCATTATTCATGAAAAAATCCAGGAGTGGTGCATACCTATAATCCCAGGGGCTTGGGAAGCTGAGGCAGAAGATCGAAAGTTTAAAACCAGTGTCAGCAATTTAGTGAAGCCTGGAGCAACTTGGTAAGAGCCTGTCTCTAAATAAAATGTAAAAAGTGCTGGAGATGTGGCTCAGTGCTTAAGGACTTCTGGGTTCAATACCCGCTACCAAACAAGCATCCATTTGGTAATCCTTTTCAATCCAAACATAAGTGACAACACAGATGTTTCAGGGTTTCCCAGTCATAACCCCGCCCCCCCCCTTTTTGGAAGTTGTTTGGCTTCTTAAACTTAAAATGACTCAGTTGGATTTAAAAATTTATTTATTTATAGATTTTGAGAGTCTCACTAATTTGCCCAGGCTGGTCTCGAACTTCAGATGCTCCCATCTGAGATTCCTAAGTGGTAGAGTGCTTGCCTTGCGTGTGTTGAGGCCCTGAGTTTAATTCCCAGTACTGAAAAAAAAAGAAAAAAAAAAAGAAAAGACAAACAAAAGAATCAAGCTACATACTTAAAAGGGAATTGGGAGTAGTGGCACATGCCTGTAATTCCAGCAACTCAGGAGGGTGAGGCAGGAAAATTGCAAGTTCAAGGCTATCCAGGCAATTTAACAAGACTTTGTCTCAAAATAAAAATTAAAAGCACTGGGGATGTAGCTCAGAGGTAGAGTGTCCCTGGATTCAATCCCTAGTACCAGAAGAAAAAAAAAGAGGAGCAAAAATATTTTTTCTTCTCATTCAGTGGATAGTAACCTAATATTGGATCAGTCATTTTAAGAGCTGACAAGCACACATACCTTTAAGGACTTTTACTGTCATGTTTAATGGCAACAGATGATACTTCATGCCTGAAGTGCAGCATTCTACACTTCACATTGCAGTAATGGGCTTCCATGCTGTGCCTCAGAGCTGCTGAAACCCTTTTGGGACCTGCAGAAGAAAACTCATGGAAATATTCTGGAAGCCTCTTTAGCAGAAACTATTACATACAATAATACATAGTGGAGAATTGTTTCAGAACAGAGCCTTTAAGATTTTATGTGCAGATTTCTATATTTCCAAGTGTTTGCATGTACTTCATTTTTATTACTTGAAAAAATATAATCTGTTTTTCAAAGGCTACTTGTCTCTTCAAAAATGTTAAAATCTACAGACTGTGCCATGTGACTTATTGATACTTGGGAATTAAAAAGCATGTTTATGATTTTGATGTTTTAGAAGAAGAAGAGAAGAATGAGGAAAGACAAAAACTTGTGAGGAAAAAACAACAAGAGGCACAGGGTGAAAAGGTAAAACAATTTCTAGAGAGTAAAACAACACTTATGCTTTGTTGTTAGTAGAAGTTTAAGAAAACACAAAAATTTGTGATAAAACGAGGCACATTGAAAAGGTAAAGTGTCATTTTTAGAGAGTAAAACATTTTAGAAAACAAAAACATCTGGGGCGTTTATAACTGAAGTCTGTTGCTTTCTGTGTTTTCTACTTAGATTTTTAAAAATAATATTCAGGGCAAATTCATGATTTTAAAGTTGATTTAAAAAATTTTTTTTAGTTATAGATGGACATTTATATATATATGTTAATACTATATATAATATAATATAATATTAATATATATATATATATATATATATATATATATATATACCTTTATTTGTTTATTTTTATGTGGTGCTGGGGATTGAACCTAGTGCCTCACACATACTAGACAACTACTCAAACACTGAGCCACAACTCCTGACCTTTCTTTTTAAATATGTATTTTTTAGTTTTAGGTGGACACTATATTTTATTTTTATGTGATCCTGAGGATCAAACCCAGTGCCTCATACATGATAAGTGAGTGCTCTAGCACTGAGCCACAACCCCAGCCCAAAGTTGATGATTTTTTTTTTTAATATTTATTTTTCAGTTTTCCACGGACTCAACATCTTTGTTTGTATGTGGTGCTGAGGATTGAACCCAGGCCGCATGCATGAGCGTGCTACCGCTTGAGCCACATCCCCAGTCCAAAATTGATGATTTTAAAGTGTACAGGTTCGTGATTTTAAGATTGATTATTTTAAAATGTACAATTTAGTAATCTTTTTTGGGGTACTGGAGATTGAACTCAGGGGCACTTGACTACTAAGCCACATCCCCAGCCATATTTTGTATTTTATTTAGAGACAGAGTCTCACTGAGTTGCTGAGTGCCTTCTGTTGCTGAGGTTGGCTTTGAACTTTCGATCCTCCTGTATCTTTAACCATTGGGGTTAAATACAGGCACTACCATGCCCAGCTCAGTAATGTTTAGTATATTTACAGGGTTGTGCAGCTACTTAGTACCTCTATCTAGTTCTAAAACAGTTTTATCACCTCAAAAGAAAACCCCTCAGCCCATTAAACACTTATACCCCATTACCCTCTCCTCCTATTCTCTAGCAACCACTAATCTGCTTTATGTTTGTATGGATTACCTGTTCTGGATATTTCCTATAATTATAACATGTTAACTTTTTCTGTGTGACTTCTTTAATTTAGCATAATATTTTATAGGTTCATTCATCCTGTAGCATCCTTTTTATGGTTGAATGGTATTCTGTTGTATTGATGTACCAAAATTTGTTTGTTCACTCATTTGTTGATGAACATTTGCATTGTTTCTACTTTTTGTATAGGGAAAATGTTTTCTTCTTTTTTTTTTTTAAGAAACATTTTGTTATTCATTTTTTTAGTTTTCAGTGGACACATCTTTATTTTTTTTATTTTTATGTGGTGCTGAGAATCGAACCCAGCACCCTGCACATGCCAGGCAAGCGTGCTACCTCTTGAGCCATATCTCCAGCCCTGTTTTATTCTTTTACCATTGAATATGATGTTAGCTATGCRTGTTTTTAATTTTATTTATTTATTTATTGCTATGCAAGAGAACTTTATCATAGGAGAAAGTAAAGTAAAACTCAAGCAGAGAGAACAACTTTGTGTTTTTTTTTTTAATGTTATTGTATTTTTTATACTTTTATTTATTTGTGTGGTGCTGAGAATTGAACTCAGTGCCTCACACATGCTAGGCAAGTGCTCGACCACTACACTACAGCCCCAGCCCTTGCTATGGGTTTTTGTAAATTCTCCGTATTATATTGAGCCGATTTCCTTCTGTTCTTCATTTTTGAAGATTGTGTGTTGGATTTTGTCAATTTTTTTTTTTTTTTGTATTAGAGGTGGAACCTCTTATACAAACGATTTAAGCACATCTGTAGGCCTTAATTTTTTATTTTGAGACAGGGTTTCACTAAGTTGCTTAGGGCCTTGCTGAGGCTGGCTTTGCACTTGCAATCAACCTCCTAAACTGCTGGAATTACAGGTGTAATCGAGCCTGGCTTAAACCTTTTTTTTTTCCTTTAATTGAAATGAGCACTTGCTTTTCCTCTCTGATTCTATTAATTATTACTATCATTATTTTTGGTACTGGGATTAAACCCAGTGGTGCTGTTCCACTGAGCTATATCCCTGGTATTTTGTTTTGTTTTGTTTTAAATTTATTTTTGAAACAGTGTTTCTAAATTTCCCAGGCTTGCGTTAATTTTTGTAATACTCCCACCTCAGCCTCCCAAGTCACTGGTATCACAGGTGCGTGACACCACTAGTTTGTTCTTTTATGGAGTAGCATTAACGGATTGATTTGAGATCGCGCGCGCGCGATCTCAAATGTGTGTGTGTGTGTGTGTATAGCTGAGGATTTCGCGCGCGCGCGTGTGTGTGTGTGTGTGTGTGTGTATAGCTGAGGATTGAGCCCAGGGTTTTGTGCACGCTAGGCAAGTGCTGTACCACTGAGCTACATTGCCCAGCCTCTTTCTTTTTTTAAATTAGGTGTTTACAGCTAGCTTTTTTTTCTGGGCACTGCTTTTGTCTTTACATTCTGTTAGAGACTGGTTACCATAGCTTGAAATTGCATTTAGCATGTGATAAGTATCTTAAGTTATTTTTTTGACCTTGCTGTGTAAGGTAATCGCCAGTTTGATGACTGATTTTTGTGAAAGAAGATATGCCTGTGGACATTCACCTAAATATTAACCCTTTATAAGACCTTTGTATAAGGGTATTATTATTTTAAAATCTACAGAACAGATATCTTTTTCTGTTTTTAGACTTTTTCTGTGTGGTGCTGGGGATGGAACCCTCATCCTAGGCAGGTGCTCTACCACTGAACTATACTCCCAACCCCAGATACTCCTTTTTTTAATTTTTTTTTCAAACTTTAATTTTTTTTTTTTTTTTTTTAGCTGTAGATGGACACAATACCTTTATTCTATTTGTTTTTATTTTTATGTGGTACCAGGGATTGAATCCCATGCTTCACACATGTTAGGCAAGTGCTCCCACTGAGCTACAACCCTGGCCCCCAGATACTCCTTTTTAAGTAAACAAAGGCTACAAATGGTTCCTCTTTACTTATTGAAGTGAGACCCTAGGAATTACTACATTTCTTACCATCCTGACCTGCATTATTAACAGTGAAAGAGTCTTCCCTAGATCTTTTCTAAGAAGTTCTGTTATAAATACATAGTCTGTGATGTTTGATATTTTGACTTTATGATGATGCGAAAGCATTACACATTCAGTAGAACATAACTTTGAGTACCAAGTAATCATTCTATATTTCACTTTCAACATGGTAGTCAATAAATCACATGACGTATTCAACCCTTTATTAAAAAATAGGCTCTGTGTTAAAGGATTTTGCCCAAATGCAGGCTAATGTAGGGTTCTGATTACATTTCCCCCCACCTAGTACTGAGGATTTAACCCAGGGCCTACCCCTGGGAGTGTTCTACTACTGAGCTATATACTTAGCCATTTTTTTAATTTTTTAATTTTATTTTTTTTTAGTTATAGCTACGCAATATCTTTATTTTGTTTATTTATTTTTATGTGGTGCTGAGGATGGAACCCAGTCTCTCACATTCAAGGCGAGCGCTCTACTGCTGAGTCAGAACCCCAGCCCTCCTTAGCTCTTTTTATTTTTGAGATAGGGTCTTCCTAAGTTGCTAAGGTTGTCTTTGAATTCTTGGCCTTGGAAGTAGCTACGATTACAGGTGTTACTGCTACACCTGGCCTGGTCATGTTTAATGTAGGCTAGGTCAAGCTATGATGTTCTGTGGGTTAGTTGTATTAAATACATTTCAACTTAAAATATTTTCAGGCTGGGCATGATGGTGCATGCCTGTAACCCCAGCAACTCAGGAGGCTGGGGCAGAAGGATCACAAGTTCAAGGCCAGCAATTATAAAGAATAAAAGTAACAATAAATGTTGGCGAGAATGTGGGGGGAAAAGGTACACTCATGCACTGCTTGTGGGACTGCTGATTGGTGCAACCACTTTGGAAAGCAGTATGGAGATTCTTTAGAAAACTTGGAATGGAACCATCATTTGATCCAGTTATCCCATTCCTTGGTTCATACCCAAAGGACTTACAATCAGCATATTACAGTGAGGCAACCACATCAATGTTCGTAGCAGCTCAATTCACAATAGCCAAGTTAATGGAACCAACTGTAGTGTACTTCAACAGATGATTGGATTAAAAATGTGGTATATATACACAATGGAATATTACTTGGCCAAAAAGAAGAATGAAATGGCATTTACCAGTAAATGGATGGAAGTGGAGAACATGATGCTGAGTGAAATAAGCCAACCCCCAAAAAACAAAGGCTAATGTTCTCTCTGATRTGTGGATGCTTATCCACAACAAGGGAGGGTGGGCGGGGAAAGAATAGAAGTTCATTGGACTAGATAAAGGAGAATGAAGGGAAGGGAGGACGATGGGAATAGGGAAGACAGTAGAACTAATTGGACGTAGCTTTCCTATTCTTATATATAAATACAGGACTAGTGTAATCCCACATCATGTACAACCATAAGAATAGGATCCTAATTAGAATAAGTTATACTCCGTGTATGTATAATATGCCAAAATACAGCTACTGTCATGTATATCTCAAAAGAACAACAACAAAATAGTTCGAGGCCAGCTTCAGCAGCTCAGTGAGGCCCTAAACAACTTAGTGAGATCCTGACTCAAAATAAAAAGGACTTAGGATATGGCTCAGTGGTTAGGCCACACTGAATTCAGTCCTGAATACTAAACAAACAAACAAATAAATAAATGGATTATGGATTCAGCTCTGTGGTTAAAGCGCCTCCAGGTTCAATTCCCAATACCCAAACAAAAGTTTTTCAACCTAGCCTAGGATTTTTATCAGGATGTACTTCAGTTGTAAGTCCCGGAGCATATATATATTTGAATTTCTGAAGTTTAATGTTATCTCTTTTGGAAATAATGTTAATTTCAAAGCCTTGCATGCTAATTAGTAACCATAATTCCTTCTGTATGCTAGCTGCATGCTGATTCCTAAATGTATCTATAATTGACTATGTAAATTTGGATTCTACTGTTTGGCAAATGAGTCTAGAAACTTTATTCCTATGCTTTGTCTTTGGGCAGAGGAAGATTAATAAATCAGTGTCTCACAATGTTATCTATGTACATGGTAAATTGCCCAGCCTGTGCAGACATGTCCCTAATAATGAATTATTTTTAATATTTAATTTTTAGTTGTAGTCGGACACAGTACCTTTGTTTTATTTATTTATTTTTATGTGGTGCTGAGGATCGAACCCAGGGCCTTGCACATGCTAGTCGAGCACTCTACCCCGCTGAGCCACAACCCCAGCCCCTACAAGGAATTTTTTTAGATTTTTAAATTCTTAAATGTATGATTTTTTTCTTTTCTGATACTTGAACTTGGTATATGGATAGCTTGACTTATGATATATAAGATTATAGATTAAAAGTCATTGGTGTTTTGAAGTATTACATCATAATCCTCCAAATTCCAGAGTGGCTTTTGTAAAATCTGATTCCATCTTCATTTTTGAGCCAGTGTTTATGATCAGTTTTGTGTCCCTTTCTAGAAATTTTTAGAATCTTTACTTTTACTTTATCCTTGGGATTTTGAAATTTTACTGTGATACCATTTGTTTGTTTTATTTTGCATTTCAAATCCAGGAGGTCCTTACGTAGGTACACATGTCCTTTAGTTCTGTGAAATTTTCTTGTATTAGTTCCTGCATAATTTCCTTTATACTTTTTTTTTTTTTCCCTCTCTTTTTTCCTGAAGTTCCCATTAGGTAAAAGTGAAATTGAACCCAAGGTTGTTTTATCTTTTCTTCTTGATCTTTCTGGGAAATTCAGTTGATTATTTCAGCTGTCATAATGTTAATTTTCGGACTAATTATGTCCTGACCTTTCTTATTCTCTAATATCCTGTTTTTGTTACATATATGTAATATCTTGTCGTTTGATATGTATATTTTACAATGTTTTTCTTGCATACACTCTATTTCTCCAAGTTCCTTTTTTTCTATTTCAGTCTGTTTTTCAAGTTGGAGGCTTTACTTTAGTCATCTAGTAATCCTGGACTCAGCTCCTTCATGTTTAATAATGATACACTAAAAAGCTAACTGATGGGCTGGGGTTGTGGCTCAAGGGTAGAGCACTCACCTACCATGTGTGAGGCACTGGGTTTGATCCTCAGCACCACATAAAAATAAAGATACTGTGTCCATCTATAACTGAAAAATAAATATTTTTTAAAAAGCTAACTGATGATTACTTGGGTTTATGCATTTTTAAAAATTTATCAAGCTTTTCCTATAAGGTTTATGTTTTTTATGGTTTATAAGTTACACCTCAAAGGAAAAGGAAGAAATAAGTTATACCTCAATAAAAAAAGAAAATAAGGGGCTGGGGTTATGGCTCAGCTGCAGAGTGCTTGTCTAGCACTTGCGAGGTCCTAGAGTAAAGGTCGGGCGAGCGTTGGAGGAAGAGACCACCAAGAGACTGTCTCATGTAACAGCAAGGGGTTTATTGGGGGACCAGCATGCTGGGGCTCAGAGCTCACTTGAATAGAGCAGAGAGAGCCCCGAGAACAGCTTAAGCAGAGCTTATATACTTTTCTTGGAGAGGGCAGGGAGGGAAGTTCATTGACGGGTCAGGGCCAGTGGGCGGTTTGCCTGCAACCTAGTGAGGGAGTGCATTCTGCAGTTTGGCAGCTGGGGACAGCACATTCTGGGAACAAGATTAGCAAACAGTTCTCAAGATTTCAACAGTGTTTTGTTAAGCATACAGAAAAACAGTGATAAGTACCTATTTTATTAACCTTTCACTAGGTTTCAGCCTCACTAACACATAAAAATAAGTAAAATAAAGGTATTGTGTCCGACTACAACTAAAAAATAAATATTAAAAAGAAAAAGAAAATAGGGCTGGGGATATGGCTCAGTTGGTAGAGTGCTTCTCTTGCATGCACAAGGCCCCGAGTTCAATCCCCATCACCAAAAAAAAAAAAAAAAAAAAAAAGCTTATTGGAAATTTTGTGTATATAGGCAGAGCTTGACAGAATATCCCTTGTCAGGCTTCACTGTAGGATGCTTGAGGAGGAATTTAGCTTCCTCAGCATCTCTTGTTACCTCCTTTGCAATTTACTTTCTCCAGAGAAGCCTCTTCCACTCTCCTGCCTCAGGGGTTAATGCCTGAGGGTCAACAGTTTTGAGTCCAGTGAGGAAGTTGACTCTCACCTTTCAGCATTTACGTTTTTTAGTTTATTCTCAGTTGTACTTTTCACCTATGCTGTCCATTACGGGCTGGGATCAGTGATTACTCTCTGGTTTATTTTCACAAAGATTAAACCTTCCATCCCTGGCTGTCTGTAGTAGGGAAGTGAGTCTGGGGATATAGGAGGACTTTATCTCTCCCCCTCTTTTGTCCCTATTGCCTCAGGTGCAGCAAGTTGTAATAGTCATAATCTTCAGTTCATTACAAATTCATCATTTCATGCATGGCTTCCCCATCCCTCCCTATTTTTAGCTGTGACCTCACCCTGGACCTCTGCCAAGGGATCTGACATCTCTTCTTCCTGAGCTATTCCAGGGTCTGTGGAGAACACTGGCTTGCTTTCTTATTGTTGTCCTCCTGCATAAGCTTTTCAGGTGTAGCTTTCTGACTCTTAAGTCAGTTACCTCTCCTCTACCTATCTTCGTAATAGTAGTGGTTTGGGGTTATGGTGTTTATTTGTTTTATCAGTGATGGAATTTGGATATTTCTTTATTATTTCCATGGTGGTATTGGGGTGATTTCCAAAAGTTTTCAGTTTTGTTTTCTTTAGGCTTTTTTTTTTTTTTTTTTTTTTTTTTTGTGGTGTGGTATTGGGCATCAAACCCAGGACCTTGAGTATGCTAGGCAAGTGCCCTACCACTGAGCTACATCCCCAGTCCTCTTTAGGATTTTGGTTTTGCTGTGATGCCCAGGCTGGTCTCAAACCATGCTTAGCTTCCAGTTCTTTCCATCCCCAAAATATTTTGTTTTACCATATCAGGGTATACATTTAACACTCTTCTGAATGAGTTCATACCTTGTAGATCTGACAACATGAGAAGGCTTTGTGTCTTGAACAAACTGCTCAGACTTAGATCCTAGAAATTAGGGATAATGCTCTGTGTTCTTTAGTACCCCTAGCTCCATGTATTTTTTAAAAACAATTTTGGCATTGAAAACACAAAGACTTATATAAGTTCAATGTCACTTAAGTATAAAACATTTGTTTTTGCTTGCATTACGTACAAATTGGAATTTTTAGAAAATGATGCTAAAATGGAGGTAAAATTGAATTAGTGTGAAATTCAGTTTCCCCCTGGCTTTTATTTACAACTTTGTAGACAATATAAACTTTTAGGAACTTTTATGAATAGTAACAACATCTACTTTGTTTTCTCAAACAGGCCAGCAGATACATAGAGAATGTTTTAAAACCTCACCAGGAAATGAGATTGAAAAAACTGGAAGAGCACTTTTATCAAATGACGGGTGAAACCTGGAAGTTAAGTGGCGGTCACAAACTTGGGGTTAGAAAATATTCTCATTTTATATTAGAAGTCAATTATTATTATTTTTTTAAATAATTTTTTTTAATATTTATTTTTTAGTTCTTGGCGGACACAACATCTTTGTTTGTATGTGGTGCTGAGGATCGAACCCGGGCCGCACGCATGCTAGGCGAGCGCGCTACCACTTGAGCCACATCCCCAGCCCAGAAGTCAATTATTGTTTTATTTTATATATTTTTTATAAATTGAAAATGTTAGGTTATTAGTACTATTTGTTTTTTCAAAGTCTTCATTAATAATGATTATATGTAGGTTTGTAGGTTGGTTTTTTTTGCGGGGGGGGGCATTGCTGAGGATGGAAGCCAGAGTTTCATGCATACCAGGCAGGTACTACATCCCCAGCCCTGTGTATCGCTTGTGTTTTTGTTTTATTGTGTAAAGAAGAGTTTATTTAGTTCATAGTTCTGGAGGTTTAAGAACCACATCTGGCGAGGCTTTCTTGCTGGAAGAACCCCAAGGTGATGCAGAGTATCACATGGCAAGAGATAGAACCTATTATTTTTGGTTCCAGGGATTAAATGCCCAGGGATGCTTTACCACTGAGCACATTCCCATTCCTCTTATTTATTTAATTTTGAAATAGAGTCTTGTTAAGTTGCTGAGGCTGGCCTCAAACTTGTAATCCATCTGCTTCAGTTTACCAAGTTCCTGGGATTACAGGCGTGTGCATCACTAGGACTTGCTTTTTTATTTTGTTTTGGTACTAAGGATTGAATGTGAGTGGGGGGCACTTACCACTAAGCTATATCCCTAGCCCTTTTTTATTTTTTATTTTGAGACAGGGTCTCACTAAGTTGTTTAGAATTTTACTAAGTTGTTGAGGCTGGTCTTTTCTTCTTCTTTTTTTTTTAATATTTATTTTTTAGTTTTTGGCAGACACAACATCTTTGTTGGTATGTGGTGCTGAGGATTGAACCCGGTCCGCACACACTCCAGGCGAGCGCGCTACCGCTTGAGCCACATCCCCAGCCGAGGCTGGTCTTGAATTTGAAATCCTCCTGCCTCAACCTCCTGAGTTGCTAGGATTATAGGTGCRGCCACTAAGGTGGCTCTATATATATGAGTGTTTATTCATCATAATTGTGTATCAAGTGGTTAAGTGGTTTTGGTACCTAAAGAATGTAATCTTGGCAAAACTATTACAAGCTAGTCTTTGAGAAAAATATTGAATAAATTACTATTTTGAGGAAAGTCTCATCTTTCCTCAAGTAAGATCTCKAAAGTGTTAAGTTTACATTATATTCATTATGTTTGGCTCAGTTTTAAAAGTCTAATTATCCTTTGTTTATTTTTTCCTTTGTCATTAAGGGGAGATTTTGTTATTTGCTAATCCAAGTTTATAATTTTAAGCTGGAGAAAAAAGAATATTCATAAAGAAATTGTAGAGTATCTGACCACAGATCTTATATGTAAGGCCCATAATGTTTACCTCAGAGTCAACTGGGATGTTTTTATTCATTTCATAATGACAAATATGTCATAACATAACCAAGGGTAGATTAATGTGAAAAATGGGCAACATAAAATGCAACTGTTCTATGTAGTGATTTCACTTGAGTTTGTCTTTTCTTCAGTTTTGTGGTTGATAGACATTGATAGGTTGATTTTATATATACACATACAGATGCACAAACACACTCACACAGACGTATATTTATTTTTGAGATGGGGCCTGGCTATATTGCCTAGGCTGGTCTGGAACTCCTGTGCTCAAGCACTCCTCCTACCCCCGCTTCCCAAGTAGCTGGGACTACTGGAGTATACTATCATGTCCAGCTATCTGATAGGCTGATTTTAGCCTGATCTGTCTCTCAGAAATGGTCACAAGATGAATTAGACATTCTGCCCCTTGTTTTTAGACTCTGTCTTCATTGGTACCAATGGTGTATATTTTAACCTGATTAGTAGAGACATCAGAAAGCCCTGGGCAGGTTAAACTGTTGGTGTGGTTATGAGTAAGGCCCCGAGGACTATCAAAGAACATGACAATCACAATGTGAGAGGGTCAAAATCTGTCAATTTTTTAAAATTAATTATATATGACAGTACAATGATCTTGACATATCATACATTAAAATCTGTCAACTTTTAGCATTGTAGCTTGCAGTGAGGCAACCTGGGCTTGGCCATTTACTTGGCATTAAGATCCCTTGATTCTCTTTCCCCATGCTCCTTCCACCAAATTTTCTCTTTTTGTTTGCTTTGTTTTGGTACTGGAGATTGAGCTCAGGAGTGCTTTACCCAGCCCTTTTTATTTTTTATTTTGAGACAGGGTCTCATTAAGTTGCTGAGACTGGCCTTGAATTTGTCAGTTGCTGGGATTATAGGCATGCATCACCACACCCAGCTAACTTCCTTAGGAAGAAGGAAAGGGGATGAAACCCTACCAAATGATGAACATTTTAGACTGATAAAGAGAACTTTTTATCTTAGGTTAGTAGCTGTAGAAGGAAAGAATTATTGAACTAATAAGCATGTATTTGAGAACTCTACATTTATTTTGTTAAAAGAACATTTTAATAGATAATATTGAAGAATAGTTTTCTGGAATAAAATTCTTTGCCTCTTAGAGTGATTAATTAAAATGGAAAGTCAAAGTTTGAGTTTCAAAACTAGAATATGTTTATATATAACCAGATACCAAGGCCACATTTTGGGTATAGAAGTCTTGCATGGTCACTTACAAAGACATGTTTTATAGGGGCTGGGGTTGTGGCTCATGGGTAGAGCGTTCACCTCGAATGTGTGAGACCCTGGGTTTGATCCTCAGCACCACATAAAAATAAATAAATAAATAAATAAATAAAATAAAGGTATTGTGCCCATCTATGACTAAAAACTAATTTTTTTTAAAGGCATGTTTTTTATACATGTTTTTTTTTTTTTTTTTTTAAAGAGAGAGTGAGAGAGGAGAGAGAGAGAATTTTTAATATTTATTTTTTAGTTCTCGGCAGACACAACATCTTTGTTGGTATGTGGTGCTGAGGATCGAACCCGGGCCGCACGCATGCCAGGCGAGCGCGCTACCGYTGAGCCACATCCCCAGCCCTTATACATGTTCTATTTGCACAGTCTTTGAAGGCAAGTCCCTTGTACTGCCGTTTTCTTTTGCTGAAAAGGAGGAAAGGATATCATTCAGAATTTTTTCTTTTTTTCTATCCTACTGAGAAAGTTAGGGATCAGTCAGAGAAGGAAAGGGTCCCCATCAGCTTTTTGTCTATCAGGGAATCCCAGAACTTTGATGGATAAGGGTTGTTTCTGGAAGATGTTAAGCCCCATATTTTCTTGTTCAAGGACATATTGCTTTCATTTTCTGGGTGTAATAATATCTTAATATTTTTCTACTGAAATGCCATCAGAGTAAAAAAAATCATTGTGATTAGAATAGAATAAAATCAATACAAAGTCTCTTTAGAAATTGTATGTTGTTTTTTGAGCAGGGTGATGAAGAATTGGTGCTTGAAAACACAAGTCAGACATCTTTTGAAACAACCAACAGACAAACTGCAAAGAGGCGGAACTTGCCTAAGATTCTAACCGAAGCTGAAGATTCGACATCTGCTGAACAGCCCTCCCAGAAACAGGTTTTTCGATTAACACCACTTACTGAATTGTATCAGTGCATAGGAGGAACAGGGTTCTCTGGGTGAGGTGGTATATTGGGGAAAGGTGAAGAATGTCTTAACCCAAATGGTGTCTTACCACCTCCTTTTAAAGTCAATCAGCTTCATTACAAATCACTTATCGCCAAGCACATGTGAGGCCCTGGGTTCGATCCTCAGTACCACAAAAAAATAAAGATATTGTGTCCAACTAAAAAAATAAATATTAAAAAAAATCACTTCTCCTATTTAATATTAAGGTTCTGAACCAAACTTAGAAGAAAGCTATAGGATAAATGATAACAGATATAGAAAATACTTTTGTTCTCTTTGAGGAAGAAATTTGATTATGTAGAAAAGTAAAGTATAGCATTTACACTGGGCAGTGTTGGATGCCTGTCAGCTCCTTGGGAGGCTGAGCTAGGAGGATCACAAGTTCCGGGCTACTCTGGGGAACTTGGACCCTGCCTCAAAGTTAAACAAAACAAAACAAAAAATGGCTGGGGATATAGCTCAGTATGGGAGGGTCTGAGTTCAATACCTAGTACTGTTAAAAAAAAAAAAAAAAAAAAAAAGGAAATAAGAAAGGACCTATGATGTAGTTCAGTGGTAGAGCACTGAACATGTTTGAGAGCATGGGTTAGATCCCTAGTACTGCAAAAAAAAAAAAAAGAAAACTAAATATATACAGCGTTTAAGTGAATCATTCCTGTTAGGTAGCTTAAGACATATTGTGCCATGTTTTGTGAGTGGCCAACACCTATTGAGTATGCTCTTTTCTGAAATGCTTAGGGGATGGTGTTTTCAGATTTTTTATTCTGGAGTATTTGCATATACATAATGAGATCCTATCTGGGGATAAGTTGATACAGAGTGTATATGAAACACAAAATTCAATTGTGTTTCATAAACACTCTATATCAACCTGTATTAACATGATAATATATAATTTTCCTGTCTGGCCCTTCTTGGGAATGGGTTAGCAATCAGTCACTTGGTCTAGTTTTATTAAGCTTAGATGTGTCATGTTGAAAGGAACTTTTTTTTTTTTTTTTTTTAAGTATTGGGGATTGAACTCGGGGACACTAAACCACTGAACCACATCCGCAGCCCTTTTCTGTATTTTATTTAGAGACAGGGTCTCACTGAGTTGCTTAGGACCTCGCTGAGTTTCTGAGGTTGCCTTTGAACTCTGGATCCTCCTGCCTCAGCCTCCCAAGCTGCTGGGATTATAGGCATGTGTCACTGTGCCTGGCAAAAGGAAACTTTCTCATTGCAATTATTTTTTGCTTCTTGAAAATGTTTACATTTCTCTCCCTAATTCTTTAGGTTCCTGATTTACCTGAAGAACCTTCTGAAACAACTGAAGAAGTAAGCTTCTTGGAAAATTAAGTATATTTTCTGGTTCCTGTTTAATACTAAGTAAACATGTATGACTTATCTAAACCTGGGTTTGGGGAGAAGACAGCAGAAGTGTTCATGGGATTGTACTGTAAAGAGGTCTTGTTCTGAGTTTGGGGTAATTTCAAATTCGGCAGCTGAATCCTGGTCTTGACGCCTGCTTTTTTTCTGAGTTGTTTTATGGAGACTACCCACTGCCTCAGGCAGGGAATAGATAGATGGCTCTTCTAGAACTTTAAGTCACCAAATAACCTGCTTACTAAAACAGTCGTGTTAGACAAATGGCTTCAAAGGTAGGTCTCCATTAAAGAAGAGCGGATGAAGACTACAGCAAGTTGTATGTTTTAAGAATGGTTCACTGTTATGGGATCTGGGGTGCAATTGACCCCCGCTGCACTGAGCGGCTTCTTCCCACCTGCTTTGTTACAGTGTGCACTGCCTTGCTGCCATTGGCCAGCATAGTTATAAGCACTTGTTCTAATACAGGGAGTGCATGTATCTTTGTTTTATTTTGGTACTGGGGATTGAAACTAGGGGTGCTTTACTACTGAGCCACCTCCCCAGCCACCCTTTAAAAAATTTTTTTTTTGAGTCAGGATCCTGCTGAGTTGCTTAGGGTTTTGAATTGCTGTAGCTGACCTCGAACTTGCAATCCTCCTGCCTCAGCCTCCCGAGTTTCTGGAATTACAGGTGTATATCACTGCTCTTGGCCAAGCATGTGTTATTTGGGCAATATGTTCAGAGAGAGAACTCTTCATAGCTTTCTATTTTTTTTAGTCTGGCAACTATTATATTCCTTAAAAATTATTAAGGACTTTTAATTCTGCCATTATGCCTGACAAATTCATGCTGTAAGTATGTTTGCCCTGATCTCTACTTCTCAAGCTTTGGGCTGGTATCCATGACAACCATTTAAAAACATAATAGTAATTAAATATAGTTTTGGGTTTTATAGGAAAGGCCTTTTTTGAATTTATCATGTCTTTCAAGCATGTGACATTATTCTTGTTGGATTATAGATATTGGTTGTCAGTGAAATCTCTTATAATTGTCCTTTTTATAGATACAAGGACAATGCTTTTCTTCAGATTCTCATGTTTGTAAGCCTTAAAAGGATTAAGAAGTATTAGAATATTTTTATTTTGTTAGAATCTTTTTTAGGGGAAGGGGGTACCAGGGATTGAACTCAGGAACACTCAACCACTGAGCCACATCCCTAGCCCTATTTTGTATTTTATTAGAGACAGGATCTCACTCAATTGCTTAGAGCCTTCTTGTTGTGAGACTGGCTTTGAACTTGTGACCCTCCTGCCTCAGCCTCCTGAGCTGCTGGGATTATAGGCGTGTACCACCATGCCTGGCTTTTCTTTTTCTTTCTTTCTCTCTCTCTCTCTCTTTTTTTTTTTTTTTTTTGCTAATCTGGGGATTGAATCCTGAGGTGCTCTACCAATGAGCCACATCCCAAATGCTTTTTACTTTTTGAGACAGAGTGTTGGGAAGTTGTCCAGACTGACCTCAAACTTGGATCTTCCTGCCTCAGCCTTCCTGAGTGGCCATGATTACCGGCATGTACCACCGTGACCACCTTAGAATCATTGAGCCAGAGCATATAGTCTGTGCAGTTGCTACCTAGCATTTTTAAGAATTCAGTGCAAAAATCTTTATTTCCCCACTAACCATTTGCAATCTTGGTATCTTTAAATGTCCCTTCTCATCTTTTAGTAATTGTATTCTCATGAACCTATCTTTTTTGTTAGTTTTTTTTTTTGTGTGTGTGTGTGTGTGTGTGTGTGTGTTAGACCTAGATCTGACTCTACTTGAGATCAACTTGGTTGTTTCTGGGTTTACTGGTCCCTTCAAATTTTCTCTGCCTCTGTTTCTCTCTATTGTAGCATTCCTCCTGCTCCCTGCCACTAGAATAATGAAAACAGACTGTAAGCATTATCATAAAAGTTAAAAACAAGAGAAATAAAGCAATCTATTTTGGGGCTGTGCCTTTCTAACCTACCTTCCACCCTATCTCCCTAATAAAACATTTTTAAAGTAAAAAGGCACATGTAGAGTGAGGAATGGGTTATACTACACTTACTAAAGATTTGAGGATGTTTGTTTTTGTAAATCATGCAGTCATATTGTTTCTGACTTTCTTAAAATGCTGTTTCCTATTTTGTCAACAGTTTTGATCTGGTATCATAATCATTACATGTCATTGCATACCATCATACACATTAAGCTTGCTCCTACAATACATTGCTCCTGACCTACATACTTTTATGAGTATATATGTAAAAAATATTTTCACTTTAAAAAATTTTTTTTTTTAGTTTTCAATGGATCTTTTGTTCTATTTATTTATATGTGGTGCTGAGGATTGAACCCAGATCCTCACACAATCCAGGCAAATGCTCTACCACTGAGTCACAACTCTAGTCCCTTCAAAAATATTTTCACTTTTAAGAATACTAGAAATTATAAGTTTTAGGAAATTCTCTATTTCCTAATTAAAATTAGACTTACTAAATGACATTACTTGTAGAATAATCTTTATAATTCTGTATTGTTAGGAAATGAGACTAACATTCATTTTAAAGAATATCAGAACTAGCTGGGTACAGTGGTGCACGCCTGTAATCCAGCAGCTCTGGAAATTGAGGCAGGAGGATTTTGAGTTCAAAGCCAGCCCCAGCAATTTAGCGAGGCCCTAAGCAACTCAGTAAGACCCTGTCTCTAAATACAAAAGAAGGGCTGCGGATGTGGCTCAGTGGTTGAGTACTCCTGGGTTCATTCCCCTGTACCAAAAAACAAAAAATCAGAATTAGAGGAGGCTTTCTTTCTGTGTGTGTGTGTGTGTGTGTGTGTGTGTGTGTGTGTGTATTTGTTTTTTTCTGTATATGTTGTAGCTGACTTTATAATAATGAGCCACATGAGAAAATTCCTGTTATACTGGAAACCTGCTTGGATTTAGGAGCAGACCAATAGAAGACTAACATAGATTTCTGATAGGAGAGGGAGGGATCTGAAAAACAATGTAATTTTTATTTAATTAGTACACCCTGATTTGTTCAGTGCCTGTTATATATTTAGTATTATAGATATATCATTATAAAATACTAAGCTGGGTAGATTTTCAAAAAGGAGAAAATAATGGTGGTAGTTCATGATTCCCAATTGAAATATTTACCATGTTACTGTTCCACTTTTAAATTAAAAATAACCATAAAATTTGAAATAATTTGAAAATAATTTTGTAAATCATCATGTTATATTACCACATTTTTATAGCAACTAGTTTTATTGTATGCTATCTTATTTCATTTTAAGGAGTAGCAGGGAAACAATTTTAATTACTGCTGCTTTTCTTTTCAAGTACCAGGGATTAAACCCAGAGTCTCTCACATGCTAGGCAGGCGCTTTGACTGCTGAGCAACGTCCCCAGCTCAGTGGATGCATTTTCTAGCATGGGTCTCCTGAGATGGGGAGGTGTGCTGCTCTAAAACCACATTTATACATAACATGATGCCCAGTAGCTCTCAGAACAGTTAATGATGCTGGTTACAAGAAAGGGTTTCCTGGCAATTTTGAGAAACCGGCAGGTACATAATGAACTTCAGTATAAGTTACTAATCATTGTCTTCTCTTTTTATGATGGCCTTTAATATACTAGCAGTTTCCAAGCTCTTTTTAACTGCCTAAGTGCTTTATTAAAGGGATGATCACAGAGGGAATTCAGTAGATGAAGAAAAGCTGGAGCTGCTCAAACACTCTCACTTTTCTTGGGAGGATGGACAGACAGTGTGTGGCCTATAGTATCAGAGTGTGCAGGCAACTTTTTGTTTCCTTCCAGGTAGTGTTTTCTTGTCTGTACATTGAGAAAGTGGCACTAGGTCTTCTTGGTTTGTTCGGTTACTTTTCAAACAAGCTACAATCTTGATAGTATTTGGCCAGAAAAAAGCACTTGGTCTCTGGTGTCCTCTTGGAAGGCTTTCACTTCCTTATTAGTAGAAAGATGTTTATTTTTCAGTTTTAGAAGAATTATTTTCATGTTTGGGGGAAATTTATCTGGACCTTGATGTTGCAAGTTCCTGCAAATCTCCATGTGGATTTTTATAATAACATGTGTTTCTTAGTAGTAATTTTGGAATCTTAAAGAGCTATGGATTTGATTTTTTAAAAATTGGAATTCTTATCTGAACATTTTTATTTCTCAGGTAGTTACTGTTGCTCTCCGATGTCTAGGTGGGAAAGTCCTGAGGAGAAGGTTTTTTAAGTCTTGGAGTTCACAGGTGAGGATGTTTGCATTATGAGGAATATTTTTCTTGAATTTGGCAAATATCAGGGGAGTTATCACGCTGTCATCTGATATTCCCATCAGATAAGGATAAAGAACATTTGTAGGTACTCGACATTGGCAGATTTTGAGATATGTAGACATGGTAGGCTTCTTTGAATTGTGATCTCTGCATTCAATTTTTTTTATATTTGTTTTTTTAGTTGTAGTTGGACACAATACCTTAATTTTATTTATTTTTATGTGGTGCTGAGGATCAGACTTGCACATGCTAGGCAAGCGCTCTACCCCTGAAACAAAAGCCAGCCCCTCAATTTTTTTTTTTTTTTTGTTTAACAATTTTTTAGTTGTCGATGGCCCTTTATTTTTATTTACTTACTTATATGTGGTGCTGAGAATCAAACCCAGTGCTTCACACATACTAGGTAAGTGCTCTACCACTAAGCTACAACCCCAGCCCTCTGTATTAAAATTTTAAGTTATTCCCTTTACTATAACTTTATTTTTATTTTGTTTTTTTTGGAGGCCTTTTTGGCTGGGGATGAAACCCTGGGTTTCATGCTAGGCGTATGCTATACTAATAAGCTACATCCCTTTGGTTTTGTTTTAGTACTAAGAATTGAAACCAGGGGCACTCTACCACTGAGCCACTTCCCAGCCCTATTTTGTATTTTATTTAGAAACAGGGTCTCACTGAGTTGCTTAGTGCCTCACCTTTGCTGAGGCTGGCTCCTTATTTCAGCCTTCTGGCCTGTGGAATTACAGGCATGCGTCACTGCGCCCAGCTAGTGCTTTTTATTTTTGAGACAAGGACTCACTAAGGCTGGCTTTGAACTTGTGATCCTTCTGCCTCAGCTTCCAGAGTTGGTAGGATCACAGGCATGTGCCACTGTGCCTGGCTAATATTTTATTCTTAACCTATTTATTGAATCCTCTTTCCATTCTATATGTGTGAATGAGGCTTTCCTAACTTAAGTATCTCAGTTGTTAAATGCCATTAGTCCCTATACCTCTTCTGGAACAAAAGGTATTAGAAGTTATTCACATCTCAAAATTCATGAACTAAATTTCCTTTAAACTCTAGAAAGGAAATATCTTTGAAAGTTCTTTTTTTTTT